CACTTTTCACCTTAACAATGAAACGAAATTCATTGCTTACGAAATTATGCTGAACACTTTGTCTTCTAAGGAAGAAGCAGAGTTGTTTCCCTCACCGTGTTTTAACTCAGACATCTGCTTTTAAAATGCTCCATTTTTCATTTGCACCCCTCACTATAATAGCATAACATTGAATTTTCAACCCACTTCACATCACTAGATAGATTAAATTGACTTGGTTGGAAATTCATTACAAATTTGTGACTTAAATTTTTTGGAATACGTAGGCTCGCATTTCAATGGAGCACCTTTATTCTTCGCCAACCTGTCGATGTTCGAGAATTGCTTGAAATCCGCGGTTGGTAGTAACCAAGTGGATATATTGGTTATGTTATTTAGCTCACCTTGAGGCAATGAACGAATCCCTCCTATTTTGTTGCTGCCTCTGTTCATTCGTGCCCACTAGCCTAAGGTTTGTTTATTTTTTTAGTCACTTTGGAAATCTGAATAAGGAAGCATTGAACAAATCAAAGATCCTGAAACCTTGGGAAGTGGAGTGCGCGCGCTCCTGTGGTTGCAATCCAAATTTGTGGAAACCTGTTTGTCATGGCAAAACCAACACAATCTTCTTCTCTCCCTGCTATGCCGGTTGTACCCAAGGACCTACATTTCTACGCTCTACTAATCAAGTAATTAAAACATTTAATCTTTAATGTTGTATTAATAACTACGAATTGATCTGAATATGTGTTGATGGCACTTGTCTGTTACGTTAGGCTTTTTTAGAAGTGTTAAATATGCCACCCAATCACTTTGTCTAAATTTCATTCTCAAACAATAGACTTTGGTATTCGGCATTTATATTATGTCTTTTTTTACCAAACATTTATATCTTTTAACTTTTACAATTGGGAAAAGGATCATTTTGGGGATTAGGTGTGTTGATGGAATGTCAATAATTTATGCACTTGTTTAAATGCTCAAAATTGACCTTTGCGCTAACAAATAATGAATAGGTATTGATCGAATCCTCTATCGAATTTTCATTATTCAATCTGTAAATCAACTCTTGTGTGGTATTAGCCTATTGGTTGGGAATTGGTAGAGTTTAACTCGTGGTTACAGGTAGTTTCAACGCCTTTCATGCCAACAGCCTTTACACAGAAATGATTTATTGCATGGGAAGCTCTGCACTCTTATGTCTGTTTGCTTCAATTATGGTGCCATTTCGTTGCCAACTTGATCATTTTTGTTGACTATCTGCCTCAATGATTTTTTGTAATTTTTCTGCGTGAATGACTGCTGATTAGTCCTCTTACTTTTTATGGCATAAAAATACACCTAAGGGAGAGGGGGTGAGGGAGTTGAGGGGTGTCCTAGAGTCGCTCTGATGATAAGCGCTCACTTTGAGCACTCTTTTTGTTGAATAGAGTTTATTCAGTTGGTTGACCATTCCTTTCACCAAATATGTGCCGATAAGTTCCACTCCTGTGACCTCTAGCTTGGCTAATAAAGCTAATCGAATTAAAACCATCTATTGGTTAGTAGGTTAAATAGGCTTATTAAATACATAAATATATGAAATAGCAGTTTTGTGTTGTTATTTCTCGCTTTTATTTAGAATTCCCTTTTGTGTGTGTGTATTCGTTACAAGCGCTCCTGTTGCGCTATCTCTTTTCGATACATGGGAAGTGGAGAGGAGAGAGGGGAAATAGGGGGGGGGGGGGGGGGGGGGGGGGGGGGGGGGGGGGGGGNGGGGGGGAGGGGGAGGGGGAGAGGTGTAAGTGCATTCCTTCAACGCTGAGTAGGTTATGCTTGTGTATGCTGTGGGAAACTTGGCCAAATGTCATTCCGATTTGGGAACGTAACTTTTGCTCCCCTTTATCTCTCCTCCCTCTTCTCTTTATCATAGTCATCACATTCGGCTCATTAATGTCTCTTAACGTTCGGGCACTAAAATCGCACTTCGTTTAAGTGAGATAAAAGAGCTTTTTTATTTCAATTAAATCGTGTAGTGTTATCAATGGCTATCTTTTACGATTTTGTTACGTTAAATCTGACGTCACTCTGAGTTTATATCCCCCTCTAACTACAGGCCTTTGAAATTACTAAATTAAACAAGTTGGGGTGCAAGGAGAAAGTGAAGATATTCATTAAACTAGCCGTCAATTTATAAACCTAGCGTACATTGCATTTATTCTGGCTAGTGCACAATTCTAACTTATCCACCACCGGACTGTGAAGAGTTGATCCTGTTATGATCTACCTTTAAAATTGCAGTTGTGAATCATATACTTTTTTATCCAAAACTACCTTGGCTAGGCTAGAGGCATTCGTAAACAATAAGTCTATCTGTATCTGATCTTTGTACACTTCTACATGTCGATTTTCACGCGCATTGTCTTTTTCACTTGTACTTCCCAAAATTCACACGTTGCACAATCGCGTTTTCGTTAATTAACCCATTCAATCGTTAATTTGTCAATCCATATGTTATGGAACATTGGTTGTATTTGATCAAATGTGCGTTGAAAGCAGAATGGGATACTTCCAATGCCATACGCGATTTGCGCCAATTTCTGCCATTATAAGATTTTGTTCTTCAATACTGAGTTCTTCGATTATTTTTTTCCATTTTATTTCCTTAATACTGTTAACTTGTCGGATAATCTGGTAGGACTCAAAGTTGTTTTTCTGCTTCAATTTTCCCTGTAGGGCAGTGTATTGTTATTATTACTCTGGGACTTGTAAAGCTAAGTCTAATGGTTTTAATCGTTGGGGCGGGTCTGAATAACGAGAACTACTAACGAATCCAGTAAGGCAGAAAGTGGCGGAAGGGTGGAGACGAAGGATGTCATGTGGTCAAGACATTGTGATTCTTTTCCTGCTCGTATACTGCAAACATCGAGTCGTCCCTTATTCTCCAAAGACGCGCCGTTTAGGGTATAACGGGTTCAAATTCAACCTAAATGATTTAACTTCCAGGTTCGTTGGTGAGTTTACGTTCGGGGGGCTACTCATTTTGCCTCGATTTATTACGATCTTTTCACAACGTGAGCAAGTAATTAATATGGACAGTTATCACGGTGGGCTATATTATTTCCTTCTCATTCCCCCCCCCCACCTCCCCCTTATTTGCGTTTAATGTTGATTAGCATTTACGAGTCTCCCCATTTCTCTTTTCTATCACTTAGTTAACCAAAGCGCACATCTACTTCAATTGCTCACGTGATGCAATATTTGAATTGGTGGTGGAAGATGTGAGAACGGAAAGTGAATTAAATCAATCTTAGTCCTTACATTTAACTGCACGCGTTGAGCTAATTTATCCACTTTTGGGCTGAAAGACAACTCGAGTTTGCTGCCTTGCAGAAGTTGAATAGAAGGAACTCTCTTCACTTAATCAAGCTCTGCTTTTTTGCTAGTTAGTTTTACTAAGAGGTGTTAATAGCTAATAATAATGTTCTCCTGTTATATATTTACCAATTTGATTTGGCCCCTTAGGGATCGTAAACAAAACTGACATTCTTGGTTTTTGCAACTTTTGGTCTTTGTGTGCATTATCCTATGGCTCGCTTTTTTTACTGGCGACTTTGGGGTGAAGTGGGAAAAAAACGCACGGACGACGATCCAAATGTTTTCTTTTTATAGGAAAAAGAGACACTGATGATAAGGTTCATTTTTTTGAAACACGCGCCAAAATACAATATTTTAAAGTCAAGATCCGCAAATGGAAGAATACAAGGTAGAGGGTAATGGATATCACATTTAAACCGGGGAATTGAAGCATTATCCATTAAATTTTAATCTAATCAAGCATTTTATCCAAAATTGGTGACAAGTGAGGCAGTTTCTTTGTTCGAAAAACTCACATATTGACACCGGAATTGTCTCTTCTATTTCCCCCCCCCTCCTCCTCCTCCTCCTCCTCCAGTAGATGTGTTGTACCATTGTGTGTTGAGTCCATGGGCTTTAGCACAGCCATTAAACCCCCCTGTGCTCTCATCAGATTAGGTAATCTATTTTACGTTGGTAGAACTGCCTACGAAGCCTCTCATTTGACTTTGTTGCATAAATCTGTCTTCATTTCGTGACATTTCACAAAGTAATAATACTATTTACTTAGTCCTTACCTTTGATCTGATTGTTCAATTTGAATTAACTTTCATACTGCTACATTTTTGTTTGTTTAAGCGGGTGAAGGTGGAGGGGGGGGGGTGATTTAATTCATAGTTAAGTGAAATTAAACGCAATTATTCTAACATTTTTTTTAAGGGGATGAAGATGAGTTGTCGAAGATTAAGGTTTTAAGTTCGCATATCGGCTCTTATTTAGTTCGCGAATTCATCATCATTATTCTCCGGGGATCGGGAGCCTGTGGAACAGTCTTTTCAAATATTCTTTTAGCGTAGAAATTACAATGAATTGTCGTTATAGAATTTTTCCAGTGAATATCTCCATCCTTACTTTTAGTCACACTTACAAATCGGCCGATTGTTCACTTATCTGAGAGTATATTTTACTTGAAAATTCGCGATTGAATGCTATCATCCCTGAGAATTTGATGATTTCTTTTAGCAAATGCCATAGACGTTGTGTTCCATTTTCTGGAAATTTTGTTTCCTCCTTACTTCGCGCTGTGCTTGAAGCACTATTCCACTTTGTTCCATTGTGGGTAACAGGTAGTGGCATGTCTATAGAAATGGAATGGAAATCAAAATTGTCCTGAAGGTCACTAATCTCGAACAGACACTCTGTATGCCAACAGTCGACTGAGCAGCCACGATCTATTTTATGTTAATTACATCGCAGCTTTAAATAGTTTGGGAATGGTATAAATAACTCATACGCCTCTATTAATATTATATCAATATCTTGGCCATCATGCTAACGATAATGCCAACTTTTAATAGTTCTAGCTTCTAATTGTTACCTCTCCGTTTCAGTATGTGTATCACCAGTGCCAATGCTTACAGAACTACACATCCGAGCTCCAACGAGATGGTGTTACGTTAGCATCTATGACTCTTCCAGATGACCCTATGAATAGCATGATATACGATGACGAGGTCTTTTCTGGTGTCTGCGCTCCAGGTTGCAAGATGTTGATACCCTTTGTGAGCTTCCTCACCGTGCTCCTACTTCTCACTGGAGTTATTCAGAATCCCCTTCTGATGGTTACGATGCGTTCAGTGCGACATAGCCAACGATCTCTTGCACTGGGTTTACAATTTGTCATCATCCGATTGCTGGCTAATCTGCCCTCACCGATTGCTTTTGGCAGGGCGATTGATGGCGCTTGTCTTCTGTGGAAGGATGAGTGTGGAAGAAGGGGAGATTGTGCATTCATGGATCTGAAGCAACTCACTCAGTACATTACTGGTGAGAGTTTGATGAAATTTTAATGTCTATTAAATTTTAAATAGGCAAGAGGCTATTGACGGAATGTTGTGCACTGAATTATCTGAGCGAAATAAATGAAATGTAAGGATGTATTGTAAACAAGAGCAGTGAGAAAAGTATGGAATATCGCTTTAAGATTTTATCTATATGCCAGTTATTTGATGACCTGGATTGACTTTAATACTATTTTTGGCCAGTAAAAATCGAAGCGAATGTATGAGAAAATCAACTCAAATCAAATTAACTATAATGCATTCATGTGTATAACATTAAGTTAGGAATTCACCTCATTATTATGGCTTTGACAACCTAAAATGTTAAGTATTTAAAGCGGGTCTCTTCCGCAGTAATTGACTGGGGCGGGGTTAGGGAGAGGGGGGGGGGATGTAGTGGCAACCCTTTGAACGGGACTTTTGACCACCTTTATTGTGAGTTCCAATAAATCAATATGAACATGGGAACATGTTGGATGACTTAGTGAATGGTGGTACGTACGTTTGGTGATAAGAGTGAGGACGGTAATAACACCAAGACCTCATAGCATGTACAGGTTTCATACCATCATTGATTTTCCTGAACTTATTTTTAGTGAATGGGGTTGGGAGATGAATTTCCGTTTTGAGCTTTATTCGTTTTCTCTCCCTTCTATTTCGGCATTAACTAGTCAATTCTTAATAGTTTTGTTTAACATAGTCTTAAGGTGCAAAAAACAACTGTTTCTTGTTTTTACTATAAGAAATATCGAGAAAACTTGTGAGAGATTGTCCAATTTGGTTGTAGGCCTATCCAAGCCATTCTCCTGAGAAACCTAGGATATCTAATTAACCTTGTGCTCTCTATCTGTTGAGGAACAAAAGAGGAAAATAGCTATTAATTCAAGTTTAACTAATAAATAATTGAATTAAGCGGCTCTGCATAAGGGGAAATTAATTAGGCAGGTATTTCAGTCATTGATATAACCTAAGTGCTTCGACTTTCTAAATTGAAGTTTCAAGGAAGCTTTTAAGATGAATCAAGGTTGTTTAACTCGATTTACGATCATCAACTCATTTTAATAATTTGAAGTATGCTAATATGTTCAACCCAAATCATGTGCTAGACTATTTTTAATCCTTTTCCCCCCATTTTTTGACTTTGGAAGCTAGCTCCTTAATACAAACCTACGTCGTCACTCATAATGGTACGTATTCGCCTGTGCAACCTAAGCTGTGACATAGCTAAATGTTTGGGGGAAATACTTTGCTCGAAACAATTAGGCAGAAGGCGGGGAACCTGTAATGCACTTATTAGTATTGATTTTAATCAGCAGAAAATAGCTACAGCAATAACGAAGCTACATTCTCAAACATGAGGGTGGAAATCCGATAATCGATAATCCAGTGCACGCGTATTTCGTTCGGGTGCACAGAAAAGTTTTGATTCGGCTATCTGGCACATTTATATCCATTTTAACTGTTGGGTGCCTTTACTTATACATATCTTTAATTAAATTAAAAAGTGCGTATGTGGAATTGCTGTTTGTATGGGAGCATCTGTTTTCCAAAAAAAATGCACTCTTTGGTATTGGTTATTTGTTGAGTTTCGGCGCATATTAAAATTTATTTATTTTATTTATATCAAATGGCAGGTGTTTTGATAGTTATCATTAGCCCTTCAATTGACTTCAGGCTTCACAGAGGGAAAGGAACATCGAATAGACTTTTTTGCCATATGAGTATACGTTGCCCAGGGTGAACCACGTGGAGGTAAGTCAATCGCACACCCCGCATATTAAAAGTTGAAGTACACAGTTTTGACCACATTGCTGCTTTCTAAACCTTGACAAATGCATGTAAACTGGGCTTAAACCTCGTAGTAAGATTTTATAATAATTGAGTTCAAGAAATCACTGAAATCGAACAAGTGTATTTCAGCTTGTATTCGGATTAAATATGGTCAACTCAATGCCGATTTCCCTTTCCCATTGTCATTAGTGGAGCTATTTGTTCCCCCTCCAACTAAATCCCCTTTGAGTGTAGACTTAGCTAAAGAGTATCTTATTCACCAAGAGGCAAAAATGTGATGGAATTTGTCGGGTTTGCTTTCATCGAACTATTCTAAAATCGCGCTTTTGCGGTTAGTAATCATAAAATCTTCTTAAAAGTTCGTTCCTTATCGCTTTCACTTCTGTTCACTAAACAACTCATTACAATGTTTGATCGAATGGTGAGGGCGCCTGTTTGTTATGACAACTTGAAACTCTTGTATTTTATATAAATACAATGCAATAAAAGCGGGAAAGTAATGCACATAAAAATTGACTAAATGAACGAATTCCCTGCTAATGAGTTTGCATAATAGAATCATGCAGCGCATAGGACACACAGGATTTCAGTAATAGCAATGCGGGGGTGGGCGGGGGGAGGCCAACGTGCTAGCAGTACAAGTTTTTTGACCAGTGAAAATAGGTCCAAGCCTCCCCCTTTAGTGAGACTCGGTTCTTATGCGCTCATGTATATGGGGGAATCGATCAGATTTTATCCTCACTACAAAATCCCGATCCTTTCCAACATGCTTGGTGTTGGATAAATGGTAGTTTAATCAACTGTTGTCTTCTATATTAATTGCCTTGGTGACCGTAATCTCTCCAGTTGTATCAATTTGTTTTGACTCGTAATATACTTTCAGATGTGCATTCTTCCCGTCTTCAAATCCCATCTACTTAATGCCTTATGAATGTATATTTATAATCTTATGCCATATTTGCATTAACTTTTCTGCCGTAACACCTTATGTGTTGGATCAAGTTGCCTAAGTTACCTTAATCTATATTTAACGATTACGTCACTTATTAACATTTCATAATCCCATAAAACTGCCCTTGGTGCAGATTCCTCCATGAAAATATGCACAATTTCAGCTGCCTGTTTTTTGGGAATCACTGGCGTAAATAACTTCTATCAAGATGTCATAATTTTACTCTTTTCTGCTGTGGAACATTTGCTTAAGATTAGAAAACTATAATATAATTTTCTTTCTTCCCTATATTAGGTCTCGGAATAGTCGTGAAAGGATCTAGTCTGATAGTCTACATCGTGTTGTTATACCTACTATCACGGAGGCATTCTGGTCCTACGTCGAGCTCAAACACCGATGAAGAGCTAGCTGTAACGGTGAAACTGAATGAAGACGATACTCCGAGCAAGCGAAAACGGAGTCCATCTAGGAATGAGGGTCGTCAGCATAAGTTATGATCATCCTCCTCAACTCTCTCTCTCTCCCCTCCACAACGTCTTTCTTCTCTCATTTCGCCCTCTTCTCATAAATAAATTGCATTTTCCTTATCGACGGCCCATAACTACTCATGTCGTAGTAGTTATGATTTCATTACTATTTCCTTCAGTTTGGTAGCTCATTGAACCCCCTGCAGCTTCCTACAAGTGCACTTATCAAATCATTTCTATGCTACCACCGATCAATATAAAATATGATCATAGTCATTGCGACCCCTTCCCGTGTGTATGGTCTGTTGATTCCTCCCCCCCTCCCTCCCTCCTCCCCTATAAGCCTCCTTCCACATATTTTATTTGTCGCTGTGTCTATGCTCTTCTCCCCACTCCCCTCTACTCCCTTTTTATATACTCAAGAACTCGGGTCGGCCCGTGCGTAGACTGTGCTTACGCGGGTGAAGAGAAAGAGGAATTTTTGTTGCTTTGAAAGAGGAAAAATTGAATATGCCGGCTTATGTCTTATAAAAGCGCGACAAGTTGTGGAAAAAAAGAAAAAAAGATGAGGGAAAAATATTTCCATATTTTGAGTTTTTGATGTCTGAAAAGAAATAATAAATTTGAGTTGTACATCTGAATTGTCAGATGATATGGGTGCAAGTCTTGGTCTGTCGTTTCAATCGGTGCTTGGATGAATGTAGATATTTAATGTTCAATTCCGTGAAAATAGCAAATAAACGGAATTTCTAAGTTGGATACTCTGTTCTGGCGCTTGTGGACTTTTTGAAAGGCACCAGGTTTCCTACTTCAACTGTGTACCCGAAAGGCCCGCCTTTGCAATTCTAACAAACTAAAAATAGTCAAATATTATTATTATTATTTCAAATGGCAGGCTTTATGATAGTTATCATTAGCCCTAAATAGTCAAATATTAAAAACTGAAGTAACCCCTGGATTAACATCTTATAGTTCCAACCATAAAAGTGACTGCATCTAAGTTGGGAGTATCGAGTTTCTAATCAATGATTCCCGACTTCATGAATTCTAACCTAATTCCAACAGGTCAGCTACGATTATATTAGATATTGACAAAATTTTTGGGAATGTGCCGATTTATGGGTCATCGGATACTGTTAGATGGGCACAAGGTGCAAATAAGAGGAAATCATAATCATGAGAGCTACTAACTACTTCTTGGCCACACCGGGCGTGCAAATTGCATAAATGTTGTGGGTAGCGAGAGTGCCTTGCATTTATAGTCTATGGAAGTGAACGAATATTAGGCCTACAAAATAGGTTTCGTTTTGGAATTTCAATAGAATAGGATCTTCTTTACGCTTTGTATATTATTGTCTAACGTAAGGTGAATGATGACAACCTAAGGATCACTCTGAATGCGACTCGAAGGACGGCAAGCGCCAAATAAGTGTTTACTCTGAGAAACCTCACAACCATAATAATAGCAACACCTTAATAACACCAGGCCACTGAATTCAAATACCATCATAAGAAATCAGTAGATATATAGAGTATCTAATGCTATTTTAAGCCACCAATGTTTGATCAGTCCCACCGTTATACCAGATACTATAATTAATTAGGCCATACACACAGAGAGAGGGGAGAGGATATTTATTGATGAAAATACTATGTATTTATGGATTTGCTTTGGGTTCCCCCCCCCTCCCCCCTCCCCATTAGTAATCATTCGCACGTTACTAAACGATTATTTTGTGTGAGAAATAAGCATTGAGAAAAGTACGTAATTGTTGCAATTAAAAGCAATTTTTTAACTCTTTCTCCCATATTTACTTCCTTTAACTTTTTGAAAGAGAGCAGACTCTGTTTTCTAGAATGAGCATAACGAAAGGCATGGCACGATATATATGAAAGTAATGTCTTAATAATGAAAACTAGCAATTTTCAGTTATTTTTATCCAGTTATTTCATTACTCATTTCGTTAACATGAGATTTAGCGGACCCATGTGGTGTTGCATACCTAACATAGATCCTGATAATTTGCTTCTCAATGGGAATTAGGCAGAAAAATGCATCCCATGTGTAAATTATTAAACAAAGTCCTCTGCAGATAAAGAACCGAATTACAGTTAGAAGTTGAAACAACTTTGTCACTAGGGGATGGCTCAGGTCCTAGTGTATTTTAGCCCTTCAACGTCTTAGGACCTTACGGTGCTCTTTCAAAATAAACTCCATTGATACTAGACTCGTAACAGAAGGCGCTTTTGACGTTTGAAGTCGTTTTAATACGTCTACAGTCTTCACCTAATACCACCAAAATGCATCCCGTTGACATCAGTCTGCAGTGAGGCAAGTGTAAGTTAGGTTTGGTACATTTTAAAAATAATTCGGGCTTTAAAGGTAAACTTATAAATAATTGAACTGGAGACTTGTATATATTGCATAAAAGATAGTTCAATTTAATGTGCGAAAATATGATAGAGATTTTGAATATTTCATATTAAATTTAAATTCTGATTGAAAAATAAATTCGCCAGGCACGAAACTACTAGATTATTCCAGAGTCAGGGTTAGACGGGGCTAAGGATAATCATAAACGTGATTATTTGTAGGTCTTTTTGCCAGATAATAAAGTATTGGACTCCAAGAGTTTAATTATTTTTATTGTACTTGAAATAAGTAAAATAAAATAAATTGCTCCAGAGTAATTCTTCTGAGTGAAATTAAAGTAAATTATGAAAAGCAATCAAATTTCATAAACTACAGTCTTAGAATAACCTAATTTTCATGGATCATGTAAATGTCAAATAGCATTTCGGAATATTTATAATTCATTGGTGTATTAGGCGAACTGTTCGATAGCACCGTTTGACCTAAGAAAGGCGAGGGGTGGTCTAATAATATGATACCGGAAGGGAACGGGTTTCAATATAATGATAATCGCTGGGAAGCTTTAGAATGCATATTGGGCCGAAGTGGACCCTTGAAGCGCAGTGAATTTGAGCCTTCCGCTGAGGTTTGATTCATAAATGGCTTATTTTCAGATGGTTAGGTTGTTGACCGAAAACGTCTGTATTCTTGTAGTGGGAGCTGGAGGTCTAGGCTGCGAAATTCTAAAATCTCTAGTATGCATAAATTTTATTTGTTTATACTAGGCATTTATGGGATTCTGCAATATACATGTCATCGATATGGATACAATTGATGTATCCAATTTAAACAGACAGTTCCTTTTCACCGACAAAGATATCGGCAGGTCCAAAGCCGAGGTAGCTGCAGAGTTTATTATGCGTCGTGTCGAGACTTGCAAAGTTACACCACATAACAAAAGGATACAAGATTTTGGTCCTGATTTTTACAGGCAATTTGACATTGTTTTATGTGGACTTGATTCTGTGGTTGCTCGTCGATGGATTAACAGTATGCTTGTAAGTCGGCTATGATATTGATAGGATATCTCAAATTTAATTTTAACGAGGGTTTTGGCATTCCAGGCCAGTTTGGTTAGGTATAAAGAGGACGGAAAACCTGATTTGCATACCATAATTCCATTGGTAGATGGTGGAACTGAAGGCTTCAAGGGGCATGTTATTGTTGTTCTTTTTGGTTTCACGGGTTGCATTGAGTGCAGTTTAGATCTGTATCCACCTCAAATCAACTTCCCTCTCTGTACCATCGCGCATACACCAAGGCTACCTGAGCACTGTGTTGAATATGTGAGATTGCTGCTCTGGCCTAAGGAACAACCGTTTGGACGTAAATTTTGAGCAATATTCTTATCATTTCAGTGTGCATCTTCACGTTTTGACACAAGTCCATTGTCTTTTAGCCAATGTGTCCATAGATGGGGACTCTCCTGAACATCTTGAATGGATATATAGCCGATCTTGTGAAAGAGCAAAAGAGTTCGGAATTCTAGGAATCAATATGCGTTTGGTGAAGGGAGTCGTCAAACGAATTATTCCCGCTGTTGCCTCGACAAATGCTGTTATCGCCTCAGCTATCGTTACTGAGGTGATTACTTTAATTCCTCAATATTTCGAAAACCTTTCATCGTATTAATTAAATTGATCATTATAGGCTTTCAAACTCCTGACGCTATGTTACGATTACCTGAATAACTACATGAATTTTGCAGATATTGAAGGAATATACACATATCGTTTTCAAATAGAACGAAAGGTAGGCTAGTGTCCACTAAATTTAAGTTCTTTTTTATATGATAGCCCGATTGTCTTGTCTGTAATAATACGCCGAAATTGCTTCACCTTTCTCCAAAATCCACCCTAAGAGATCTTGTGGATCATTTGAAACATGATCCAGACTTGTAAGTCTCAGTTCTTTGCCATATATTTTGCTAATCCGTTTTTTGTAAGACAAATGCAGTCTCCTACTGTGATGACAGTTATGAATGGCGCCAACAGAACTCTGTTTGTGGACTTTGATGAAGCTATGCATGGACTTCGGGATAATTTGGCTAAAACACTTGAAGGTAAATTCGGATTCTGGTTTGGAACTTATTTTAATGTTTGGTGCTTCATTGAACTTTTTAAGTAGTGAGATTCTACTTTATGTTTCTTCTCAAGTTGGACTTCGGAAAGCACCTTTTGTCTGCATTGATTGAGGACAATTAATCAAATCGACTCGAAAATTTTCATGCCTAAAATATGAATTAGATGGACAGTTTCATATCTTCCAATATCACATAAAATAGAAGGAAAGGGGAGCGAAATTTAAAAATCTGAGACTTTCTTTGACACTATTAGAACAAAGGGAAAGAGGAAAACGGATTCGTTTATATGGAATTAGTTACTTTTTAATGATTGATTGCATATTCTCCTCGTGGTCACATCTAGAAAAAATTTTACCGTCATAATCTTCTAAAACTATTGTTTCTTTTTCTTTCCAGTTTTGCTTTTGACCGACGGTCAACTTTTGACAGTTACAGATGTGACTACCTCAAGACCACTCACTTTTCGACTTTGCCTCACCGAATCGGATTAAATGTTTCTCTCTATTTTTTTCTTGTTCTTTACCCAATCTGTCTTTTTTCGTAATAAAAGCTTATGCTAATAGCTAAAACTCTTTTCTTTTTCTTTGCGCTGTTTTAGTATTAAATCACGATTTCTAACACTTCTTCCTCCTATCTCCTCAATTTTGTGCTTGATTAATGGCTTCTGAAACCTTACTTAACCCTTTCCTCCTTTGGGACAGACTTACTCATTGCTTTGTCAATTCTTTTAGATATCCACTACAACTGCTTTGCCACTTCTTCGGCATTGTGCATGTGCACTGATTGCCCGTGTTTTTCGATTCTCTTCCCAACACCGAGCAAATTGTCGCCGTCAACTACAGTACGTTAGTCTCTCAGGTGAGCCCTTTGCTACTTCGGTGCCTCCAGCTGCCATAGATCTCCTCCTTCCCCCGTCTCTGGATCCTCCTCTGATCAACAGTGTACCATGGTCAAGTCTTGACCCCTCATCTACCCTTCTGATTGATTCACGAAGCCCGTCAGAGTATGCAGTGGACCACATTCAAGGAGCAGTCAATGTGCCCATTCTGTCTGACACTGAGAGAGCTGAGGTGGGCAAAATCTTTTCCAGTGGAAATGCTCTAGAAGCGAGGCTAAAGGGTGCCAGGTTTGCTTGCAACAACATTGCAGAATCTCTGAGACCAGAAGGTACATTAACAAGGCTTTTAGATGCGCTTAACAAAAATTCAAGTAGTACCTCTGGATCTTTTTCGCCAATAACACTGCTGGTATACTGCGGACGAGGTGGACAGAGATCGTTGGGAATGGCGACGATTTTGGCGGAGCTACACTGTCCTAATTGTGAGGTTATGTGTCTGGCTGGTGGATATAAGGCCTGGAGAAGGTTACTCGTTAGACAACTCAATTGTTGGCCAATGCAAATTGGGCCGGGTGGAATGGCAGAAACATTGTGGGTGCTCTCCAGTTTTACGGGTGAATTTAGGATATTTTGTCAATGTCTTTCTTTCATACTTTAACTTCAGATTTTACTTATTGGAGAGGGGCGCTAGATAATACTGTTATGATCAAGCTATTTTTGCCTGCTTTCCATCACATTAATTCCCTTACAGATTACCGCTATGTTTGAAGGCATATTTGGCTCTATTTCTGTACCCTGTATGATTGATTATCCAATCGATTTCCTGCCATAATTATACTTCATTACATTCAATTCCTTCGATGATTGATCTAATCTCCCTTATCTTCATTTCTATTTTTGCCTCACTCACTAGAATATTGATAGATTTATTATATTTCTTATTTAAACAATATTGTATTTTATTCCACTAAAAATCGAAACTTCGGTGAGTATTTTTCATCCCTTGAACAATCTCAGAATCTTGTCTCCTATCTCATTCTTTTTGAAACTAGTTAGCCTATATTACCCGGAATGGTGCTTTGATGCTATTCAACATCATACTCAATATTACTCTAATTTAGAATTAACGTTATTACATCAGAGTAACGAATACCTGAGGAATTAGGAAATCATGTTCTCTTGGGTGTTCTTTAATTTCATACCACGGCCCTTATTTGTGTGAACCGAGAGTTTTTGTGAAAATTATTAAAGCTCCCGAAGTTATTCTGTGTATTTGCTTGCTACTTTAAAAATGACTTTCAAGAGAATGTTTGACACACAATGGGAATTCTCATGTTTAAGTTTATTCTTTAAAATTTCGGAGATTATATCCCATCTGCTTTCTAACTTGAAAGCTTTTAAACGTGAAGTTGATAAAAGGATAGGTGTGTTACTTAGGTATTGACAAATTTTAGGCTTCAGACGACATGTTGTCACCATTTAAACTTCTTTATTTTTGTAGGTTGTGGCAAAACCCTACTCCTGGAAGAGTTGGAAAAATCTGGGGAACATGTCCTCAATCTGGAGCGTATGGCTGAGCACAAGGGTTCTGTGTTCGGTGGCAGTGACTTCACCAAATCCCCATCACAGAAAGTCTTTGATACGCGTCTCCACGCTGCACTCCGCTCATGCCTCAATGTCTCACGTGTCTGGACGGAATGTGAATCGAAGTGTGTCGGTCCTTCCTGTCATCTTAGTGAGGGTTTTTGGCGGCGTATGCGTGGGACAAACGCCACGAAGAGGATCTGGCTTAGTGCATCGTTCAATTCTAGAGTGGATTATATCCTACGGGACTATGCCGATTGGATTGGGTGCTCGGAGGAGAAATACGAACATGTTCTTAAATCGTAAGTCGATCAATTTTCACTTAAATTCGTTGATTCATGTGCTATTATCCTAAACCATATAATTTCACTTGATAGACGTAAAGCCATCAACTTTATTCCTTTCTGTGAAGTGCATTTTAAGTACTCTTGATTTTGTTTACCACTTATTTTTAATCACTGAGAAACGCGATCTCCTTGGATCTTAATTAGACGCAGGAATGAGGATGGACTAGATCTCCTCGTTTTAAAAATAGGAATTCCCTATTGTGCAACATTGATCTTTTTAGAATTTCCCTCGTTTTGAATATGCTTATCTGCTCTTTAATATGCTGAAAATACATGCACGAAGTATTTTGATCTTGTGTTTCGTCATGTAATTTTGCCTATCCTTTCTTATGAAGTATTTTTACGGTACATTTGTATTTTCATGATTGTGCTAAGTTATCGGCTCACTATGAAGCAGTACACGATTCTATCAGCTCAAAGACCGCTGGGAATCGTGATTTAAAGCACAAGGCCACAGGATAAGATGCTTTAAGCGATTGTTAAATTTCTATAGTCTCTTATCATCCTGATACTTTCTTTGCTATTACAATAATACTTCCAACACTGAATTCTCCCAAATGTCAAGCCATCAAGGCCTGACGGACGGAACGCCACCGCAAATGACAACTTAGGCTAAGCAGAACCCAGTGCTTTCAGGTCTCTATCTTTAGCAAACGTAATACTCGCAGCTACATTCCCATGGCCTAATTGTATCTTCAGTACGACCTTATAATTTAATCAATTTTCTAATAAAAGGCAGATATTTTGTGCAATTCGAATAGAACCTCGAGTTATGGGCATTTTTTCTCATGTTTCCTTTTGTACGACAAAACCCGCTCGGAATTATTTTTTCTACTTTTCAAAGTAGAGATTCCCTTCTTTGAAGAGTTTGTTGTCACAGTTCCAAAACTTGGAAAATAGCGAATCATGCCGGTCAAGGGGTATTGAATAAAACACGATTCAGATTTTAGAGTAAGGGTGAAATATGATGGGTGGGAGGAGTGGAAGTAAGGGAACCCGGATACGGGCATGTAAAAACTAGTCGCGTGTGTGTGGCCGAAGCTCCGATTGCTGATGTGCTCTTATATAAAACTGGACAGTTATACAATAGGAGAATCGACATTCTCATCTAGACGTGTCCAGAGTTTGAGTCATGAGAACATAAAGGGAAAAAATTAACTTATTATCATAAGAAATGCGACTCAAGCGTAATTTCCGTAAGCGCTTAAAACATCCTTCAAGTTTATCCAAACAAGAAGCCTGCATTATCTTATTCTTTGTTTCTTGCTAATAGGCTAGCGAATTATCATAGCAAGAACCGTCTTGAATCCTGGCGTAAACTTATTCAACGTGGAGATTTCGCAGCCTTCGTAGCAGAACTCCTTGGTCATCACTATGACCCTTTGTACAAAAAATCCCGTGGTCCGTTGCTGCAGCACTTTGCCGATCGTGGTCTTCTCCATCGTGTTGAACTCTCCACCATATCTCAATCCTACTTCCGCCTTGAAGTCGTACCCAAATTGCTTGAGATTTCTAACCACGGAAATCTAACCGATCCTTCTACTCTACAGAACTCTACTGCCTTTTTTAATTTATAGCATACCCCTATTGTAAAATATCCGTGTATAGTACCAATTTGTAAGTAGATTTATTCAACTCTGCATCTGGCTGCTTGTTCTCCCATTTGTTTGCTTAATGTCCAATCTTGAGTTTAATTTAAGATATCTTTTAAGGCACGGCTCTTTGGAAAAACACTGGCCTTTCTCACGAATGAGCTTCCCTCTCTTCGGTGAGTTGATTCCGTAGCACAACGGCTGCTGAATAACGAATCAGAAGAATTATTTGACTGTTATCGATTTCAGAACTGTTAGAGGATTGCAGACTTCACCATGCCTACAAAGGCATCCGGGTATAACTTATCCTTATAAGCTGAGTTGGAAGTGGTTGGTCGAGAAGCATATTGATCCAACTCAGTACACGGTGGATCCGATTAGGAAGATTAGGACGGGTGGACGTGGTCCTGATGGTATGTTTTGAGTCTACCCGCATTCTTGAAGATGTACTTCTTTACCACCTACCTGCTCATTAACAGGTCAAATTCAGTACAAGCATCATACAAAAGGTTTGAATTTCCCCTACTTCCTTGTTGACTATGTTCGTTCACGGCAGATGGAGACTAAGCAGATTCATGAAGAGGTTATTCTCAAAGTAAGTCCCTTCATCAATATTTAAAATTAATCTTTATCTCTGATTTATTACTGACGGCAAGGCAAAAAACTTTAATTTTTTGTCGGGACAACAGTAAAATAGCCCAATGAGGAGTTAAGAGAAGGAGATCAGGTATCAAAAAAACCTTCATTTTGTTTTCAGGGTAAAATTCCAAATCTTATGGACCTAGTCTCCCCGTCATTAAAGCCTATGTTTTATTAATTCGTCAATCCGAATAGCACAATTTAAAATAGCCTTGTGGATAAGTAAATTTAAAGTAGGGTGCTCCAAAGTTGCAGGACTTAAAATACATGAAAATGAGTAGTTGACCTCATGACTTTACGATTGCGGTATTTGTCTTGTGCTATGCTACATCTGTTATTAATTAAATCGAGTTTGCTTAGCGGCTTATTCCTTCATCATTAATTTTACAGATAGCCAAAAACTGGTGGCGAGATCCCTATTTGGCTTTAACAGCCTGTGGAGAGGTCAAGCGATGGATTATTGCCACTTCCAACATGAAAGAAGGCGACATTATCCGCTCTCATTGGGAGATTCCTAATATTCCCGGTACATCAGCCAGATTCATTAAGTAATTTAATACAACTACTTTATCGAAAATAGTATTATGAATTATTGTACGTTTATAGTCCTGCCCATTCCTGGTGACGCATATCCTGTGGGCGCCTTACCCGTGGGAACACAAGTCTGTCTAGTTGAATTACATCCAGGACAGGGAGCTGAAATGTGTCGTGCAGCTGGAGCCACCGCAACTGTTGTTCGACGTGGAATTGCCGTTCATGACTTGGATGGTCTCAACAAACAGCTAAATGATATGTTGTCTGCAGAATTAATAGACGACTGCTATACTTGTGTCCTTCAACACGACTCCTCTAAACGAGAGATCCGCCTTCTTCCAACCTGTGTCGCCGTCGTTGGCCAGGTCTCAAACGAAAATCATAATAAGGAGAAGTACAGAAAGTTTGGTGAGAAGTATTGGCATGGGATCAAACAGCGCTCTGGTCTATACCAGAGGAAGACGGGACGTTTTGGGCGAAAGATTTACCCCGTAGACCCTCTCCTAGATTGTACAAAAGATGCAGAGGTATCGGATGGTGAAATTAGGGCGAAATTCACGCTCTCGGATAGACCTGAAGCTGAGAGACGAAGAGAAAGGGAGATTTTTGCAGACTCTTTGCTTATTAAGCGACAGAAGATTCGACCCGATCCTGGACCTAATAATGGCCTACCTCATACCCTACCCGAATTTACCTGGCGTCATGTTTAAATAATTTTAATTTTGTAGCTACTATACATCTAATATCTATTTTCCTAGGCTTCTCATATCATTCGGGAGAATCATTCACATAAAAATCGGACTGGTTTGTGGGGTGAAGTGCTTCGATTTTTCTATATTAGATATCAAGGGTCCAAGTTGGTACTCAAGTAGTTATATTCTTAGAAAATGAAGTATTTTCCATAAAATGTGAATTGTTTCATTCAAAACCTGAATGAGGCCATATGAGTTCAAGTTCCTTGAAGATAAATTGCAAAGGAGCAGGAGTACGACTAGTAGTTACTACTAAGGCTGCCAACAGACAATCTGAGTTCAAAATCCGATTGTGAATATACCAAGTTAAACAATACAACAGACATTGAATTCGCGGGAGAGAGTTGGAGCGAAGGTTACTCGGGGAGCGTGATTGACGTCTGCGTAAACATAGACAAAATTGACGAGTTACTCCAAAATAGCAAGGGGAAATTGACAACTCTCCCTGCGCGCTCAGGGGTGAAATGCAGCAGTGAACTTAGTTTATACATGCGCGATAGACAAGTGCACAATGTTGTGCCAACAGTTATTCGGGACACAAGGTGCAAAAATTCCATAGCCAAGAGATATAAATGCTCACTTAACCCACATAAACTATAACTGGATGCTAGATTAAAAACCAAAAATTAAGCCAAGTAACTGTGTATATGAATCGATTCAAAAATACCGATGGATATTTCAATAACTTTTTCTGATAGATATAAAACTCATTATAGTAGTCCTAAACAAAAATGATTCAAATATACAGCAACTTCACAATCAGATTAGTCAAACCAAGAGTGAACAAAATCAACAGCAATATCCTTGGAGGCTTTTTTGTGCTTTTTGTACATCATGGGGATATCAAATCGTAGTTCTGCAATCACTTCACAGTTTGCCCCAAGTCCTTGAACTGTTTTCACAATATGCTAGGGAAAAACAGGAGTAAACGAAATAAAAGAATACATCTCGAGTGGTGGTTTTATGTAGAGAATAGACATGTTTCTTGCTCACATTGAGACCGAATTTTAAAAACTCCGAGTCAATTCCTAAAAAAAGATAAGCACTGGAAATAAATAACCTTTGCTTTTATCTGTAGTTCCAAAGGGAGGGTTCATAATTACGGTATCAAAGGGTTTGACTCTGGGAGGAGTAAGTTTTGTAACATCTGCGAGTACCAAGTTAATACAAGCTGCAGATTGTGGAGGAAGATTTTCATTCAAATTTGTCTGAAAATCTGAGATGGCATCTTCATCGATATCAAAACCAACAACGAAGCTGAAAGTGTTAACGGGGGTATTATAAAAAACCTTGCACCAAGTAAATGAGCTCCAAGAGAAAGCATTCCGGCTCCACAGCCGAGATCACCAACAACCTTTCCTTCGATTGCGTCATTCCGTGTCTGCATATCGAATAATATATCACCTAATTTAAATAAAACAAATAAAAGAAATTACTCGCTACGTGAGCAGATGTTGGATATTGCTCCAAGTACTGCTTTGGATTAGAAAAGGAATCCAAGTTCTGAAGCTCCATTTGAAGATTCTTCTTACTTATACAAGTGAAAGCCATGATCTTTACATATAAAATTACAATGACGTAATAACCCTAAATTATATAAAAAAAATATAGCAATGGTTACTTAATATATACCAGTTTTATAGCGGTCTATAAAATAACATAAATGCGCTTATAAGACTCAAACCGTAAAAAGAACACACACTTGCAGATTATTCCCATAGCACCTTAAAGGTTTTGAAAGTCGCAAGGTTTTTTCATCTCTTTTAATAACATCTATTCGATAAATAAACCGACAAGTGTTTGTAATAATTACAATTCAATTTATTCTCAATTTCATTTAACTGTCGGAAAATGACCTGACTTCTAAACTCTAGTTGATAAAGCAGAGTAGATATAAGCGAATTCTTCATATTGCTGGCATAGTCTTAGATATTATACCTATTTGCTATAGTTACAAGAATAAAATGGCAAATGGAAAAAAAATTCAAATATGTGCATATTCTATACAGATCCCCAAAATATTAATATAGGGAAGAAGGTAGTAGGTAGTCAAAACTTAGTGGATATCACTTAGAGTATATGATCGTAGACTGTAGTAAAATAAGCCGCCACATTTCACTACCAATAATGAAACATCTGGAAGCTTGCAGATCGGTTAGGACAGTATGGGAAAAGGGGGAAATGGCCACGTCCTCCGACACTTGTATCTTCAGTACCTCCTGTTTTGTCTTTCTATATTTCACAGAATTACAGACAATTGTGGCTTCATTATATGTTTATATTTAATACGTGCCTACTTAGTCCACCCCCAAACAACATCCTTCGTGTTCGATGTGAGAGAAAAGGCAGATACACAGAGCTTCTCTCAATTTTAACGACTTTACCCTTTTAGTATTCATTCACTAAAATACGTCATTGATTTGCGCTTTCATTATGCGTGACTACCATGATATGGAGGAAGAATTCCGCAGGCTTCTCTGAGTGCTGCCAATATAAATTCTGAATAGGGGAAAAAATATTATTGCATTTCAAATTGAAGTAAAGATTATTTTTCTGACGATTTCTGATAATTAGTTTTTTATAGGTCAAAGTTAATTTGATCGGTCGTGCGGCGATGTTGAATAAAACCCCCCCTACGGCATTATTATTATTTTTATTAGTAATAATAGCCGTCCCAAAGATGCGAGAGTAAGGACACATTTTAATGAAAAAACTTGTTGAGTGCAGACAACGTACTCTGTTCAATTGCATTTTTATCGATTTTCGGAATAGGAAAACATTAAGTAATTCCAACAACTTTCACATTTCATTATCATCGAAGTGAAAAGATGATTTAATATTTTACATTTATATTTAAAACAGAGCAAAAATCTGGTTTAAGTAATGGGTTAGGTCCGAGTTTCCAATGGTTATTCCACTTGCATGTGACTGTTGGTACTCCTCTTCTTTCCCATACTGTTGGCGTTTAAACTCTTGCATGACATCGTATTGTATACCTGTTTTAATGAACTTCTATAATAATCATACTACTTGCAACCGCTATGTTTAAATTTTGATATGACTTTTCTACGAAGCCTTGAATTTATGTCTGAACCTATCATTAGTTTAAACACCATTTACTTTTTTAATGGAGGTTTGGGCAAGATATCAGTTATCTACTTTTATTGGTGGCAAAATTAAAAATCCTGTTATTCATGAACTTTAAAGTTAAGAATACATTAATACTTTTTTCAAGTTAAATATAACACGAATCTTTTTAGTTTGAAACGATGGCTGCAGGATTTCGATAGGAAGACAGGATTACTGTGGTAATAGTAAAGGTCAACTAGTTACACACAAGAGTAGTCTTCCCAAAAAGACTGAATAATGAGAGTTAAGAGCACGTTTAGTACGCTATTTTTTATTAGAACATGAAGACTTAAATATTTGATGGAAAATGAAGTTATATTTTTATCGAAATTATAGTTCATTTGACTTGATATTATTTCAAACTTCTAAATAACTTTTGACACCGTCAAGTGTACAATGACACGGCGGCGATGATAAAGATGAAGTAGCATAATTTTTTATTTAAAATTATTAAATGCAGAAAATCATGCAACCTCGCGAAGTTTGCTAAATGTAATTTTCAGAACGTTACAGACAAGTGATCTCTTTCTTCTTACCAACCCCGTACCACGGCATTCAAAGGATCTCATTCGTGCTACCGATCGCGCAGCGTGCGAGTGCGATCATGCTTGCAGAGTCCTTTCAGCCAATCGGCAATCAAAAGTGTTCATAAAGCTTTAATGACTAAAAATCGTGGCATTTCCTCATATCTATGCTAAGTGCTGTTACCTCTGTGCATCCTGTTTCCCCAAAATCTTTTAAAGCTTATCTAAGTCCAGAAACAACTTTGGCTAGAGGATTTTATCAGAGAGGGTTGTTATGACCTGGTCGAGGCTCTTCTATATAATATCATAATGGCAGCTCCTAAAGCCCGAAATCAAATCTGCTACTAACACCATACAAACGGACACGCCGCCTTAAAGTTCTAGATAGGCTAAAAATATAATTATATTGGTAGTTCTAATCCATAAGGAAGTCCCATCCCTTCTGAAGTCCTAGCTATCACTCGTTCTGCAGAAACTTGCATTTGCCAACTAACCGGACGGGTCTTATATGCTACAAACATTCATTTATTCAATCTGTATACACTTCCATCTGTTTGTACATGCCAGAATCACTTGGTCCTAATTGGAAGCAAGCCTTCATATTTACCAATACATTGAAGAAAATCGATTCTGAGCTGTTCCAAATTGATATGCTAGAACTCTCCGAAGAAACCCCCTGATCTCGCTGATGAATCAGATACCTTGCAAGGAGACATTCAAGGATTTCACCCAGAACATGATACTGTCTCCCGCAAGAGGTGTGACGAGAGTGAGAGGCAGACGCCAGACCTCCCCCCCCCTCTGGACGACTCCCACACCCCGACTTTCTCCTTGATGTGTGTATACCCGCTAACGATGGGCATCTTTCCAATACTCCTACCCAATCCTTCTGCCAGGAACCTGCACACTCATCCGTTCAGGTCCTTGTTCCGAAATACTACTGACTCTAACTCCCCACCATCTTATATATCTCGAGCCAACGTTTTACGCACCCCCAGTAGGCGGTTACCTTCCCGTTGCGGCTGGCCGAATAAATGACTAATTATCGAGAGTTTTTATACACAACGTTACAAAGACTGATCGAAGGAATCTTATGCGCTCTAGAACATTCTTGAAGATGTGGTGGCACTACTGAGATCTTCTCATCTAATCAACAAGTAATATTCAATAAAATTTGCTCTTAGTGTGTCTATTTATTGATCTCCCTTGCTATTGGCTATATTTATAATAAGCGTTATTCACTCCGAACGTTCCGTGACCTTGATACAGTCAACGTGGCTTAATCAATTTCTAGAGAAATTCGATACCCAGGTATTTTATCGGAGTGGATTTTTAAAGCCAGGTCAAGGTTAACCTGTGTGGTAAGCTTTGCGCATACTAGACAGTGATGTACGTTGAAATTAACTTATAGTTCAATAAATCAGGGTTTTCTATCCGATCTTGAGTATTGTTCTTTTATAGTTCTTAAATTCAAATCATTGGGATTTTGCTTCATAGTGTAAATTTCCTCCGAAAAATAGTCTAGATCATTATTAGTTCTACTTGGTCATTTCTGAGGCACTTCAGATTAGGAGTCGCAAAATTTTTTACCTTTGTATTTGCTTCCTATGCTACTATTATAATCGTGAACAAAGGGACTTGTTTTAGCAATATTGTGAAGTGCTTGTTCTCTGGTTATTTTTCTGTTCTTTTCTTCAGTGTTACCACAAGTCGATTAAATTCCTAGTTTCAAGCAGTTTTAAACCAAAGATTAAACTGCTCTGCTTGCCTATTACCAAACATATGAAGCAGTTTACCGACAGAATTGCCTATATTTCCCATTAGACAAGTGAATCAAACCTGAATAAATGGTGTTTATCTCGATAAATCGACCAGCCAATAAGTTCTGGGAATTGGAATAATGAATTGTAGTACATGTCTACAATGACTCATAGGCCGCCCATTCGCTCTCTATGTAATTCACGACTATTGACTCACATTCAGACTTTAATTGCCAATTTGTCATAATTAGGCAAAGCACAAAATCAGTCATTCGCCCCCTCCCCCCTCCCACTATTCTTCTAAGTCATCACCATCTTTGATCTCTTTCATTTCCAGTTGTGCAGTTGACTTCATCTTTCGCCAATGGCTTTTGCTACCTATTATTCATGGAAAAGTCATCAGGAGAGGATATTCAGCCAAATTTGTTCTAGGATATTGCATTAAATTTTCACAGGAATTCATGAGACTGATGCTGCAATTGAAGTCACGTAAAAATAGAAGATGAAGCTGTGAATTAAAAAATGACAAACCCGGTGTTAAATGGCGCAAACAGAGGCGAATCACAAATGGATTTTCTTATCAGCAAACCCAATCCACTGACTCACAGAAAAAAAACAGGGACATATGTTGAAAGAATTCGTCTTTCTTTTTCAGACTACAATTGGATGTGCTTAAGATAAGAAATACGAAGTTATGCCCACTTTAGTAATGCGTAATTGATACTATATAAATAAACCATGACCAAGCCATAGCATTCCTCTTAGTTAAAAATTATTATCGAGATTAGCCAAGCTACGTCAACTGCATCGAGGACGCAAAACGTCTTATGGGTATTACGTTTATTTCAGTTATGGTTAACTGTAAAAATGTCTAGTAAATGAATGTGTTTAACTCCACCTTAAGTGAATATTTAGCATTGATTAGCCGAGAACCGCACCTAATCACTGTGAGATCGAAACACGATATCATAAATATTTGGATATTGCAGGTATGCATAAAAACTCATGACCTCAAAAAGCATCAACACGGAGCGTGAATTTGTTCAATGATCGTAGTTCAGTACTAAGAATTCTCACCTTCCCAAAAGCCTGTTCAAGAAATCAGCCCAAAGCATAAAATGTTAATTCTCTTTTATATAAGAAGGAATACCATATTAGATATTTTACTGATTAAATTTTTCTTGTAATAATTTGAAATTCCAGGTTTTTTTGCACAATAAAATGGAACGGACAAACAAATGAATTTGACGGGATGGCTTCATTAATAAGTTTATGTGACTACATTTCATGAGTCAAAATAGCTGAAAACAAATTCAGGATCGAGCATCAAAAATGCTTGCAAATCAATCATGTCACAGTTGGTAACGTTCTACTTCGGCTTGAAAATAAATGTGTTCTTGTTCCACACTCGACCTATATAGCTATGCAAATAGAGTTACTTGCAGCTGATTAATGTTCACAGCATGGGGTGTGCGATAGACTTACCTCCACGTGGTGCACCCTGAGCAACGTATACTCATGCGCCAAAAAGGTCTATTAATCGGCAGTTGACTACTCACTTCAAACTATCATCACCCCACTGTATGTCATATTCAAATACTTCCACAGTACTCACCTCACATTTTTTCTACCTTCGTATCTGTCTCTTTTACATCTGTGAATCACTCTTTTATTCCCCCTCCCGAATTCTACTCACTTTGATGTTCTCCTCCCCTCTGTGAAGCTTGAAGTCAACTAAAGGGCTAATGATAACTATCAAAACGCCAGCCATTTGTTACAAAATAATAATGTTCACAGCATTAAGCTCTTGATCGCTTTAAAGCTAACACAATTTTGGATTAAAAATAAGGAAATTAGTCCTCCACTTGGAAGATGTGAAATTGGAACATTAGTAAAGTCCTTTCTACTTGAGAGTTGCTCTCTCACTGTTTTATTAAAATCAAAGAGAGCACATTAATTTTATTCTAGATGTAAGTAGGTTTGTGATGATGGAAAGCTGTTTTTTATGATATGTAGATGCCGAATGATATTCATTGAATACGGACTGGCTATAGAAGTGAGTAATCAGGCGATATATAATTGTACCTATTTTAGTGTCCACTATTTGCTTCCAAAGTGAGTGGATCACTCGTCCGCATAATGCGCTAATTAAATGCTCCAAATTGAGCAGATCGTTTTTTGACATTTAAAAGACTGTAGATGATAATTTGTCTTGTATCTTTCCATGGAATCATGCCTTTAAGAGCACGCTAAACCACGCGCGAATTGAATGTCAGCGATTTCAAGTACCTTCAGAAAGTAGCCTTCTGCATGAACTCACATAAACTGCACTCCTAATAATGTTAAAGAGCACTCTTTTATAATTAGTAGCAAATAAGAAGCAATAGCAACCTCCCAAGTCCTAGTGTACACATAGTGACGTCGACCTTTCATGTGACCACGTATCCACACACGTATATGTAGAGTCATATCTACCGGTTCCAAGTGTGCATTTTAGTTATTAGCCAACAATCACTAGCTGCTTACGGCGTTATATAGCCTGAGAATCATTTTCCATTCGTAGAATGACCTCGTACGTTAATCCACACAAATCCAATCACCTTAATGGCTCTTCTATTTCGCATTCTTTGACATAACGTCAGCTTTGCACACTCAGAAGCTTACACACGCATAACCTGCTCACTGGTGGCTGTTTTGGATGGTCCGTTTAACCCACTTAATATCATCTTGTCTCTTGCTTTTTCTTCACGTCGAGGGTTGAAGCCAATAGTGTCAAAAATGAATTCAAATAGCCTTACGTCGTGTGCATGGGAGCACGAAGAGCGACGTTTGGACAAACTAACTAGTAGACACCACTGATAGGACAGACCTTACCTTACTTTGCTCTTATCAACTATTTCTTGGCTTTTGCCCCAAAAACTGTCATATGGGAAGTCTCTAGTTACCCCAGCTATTCAATATTCGATCCAAGAAACTTCAAATAATTCGAACAACGACCACTTTCAAACAAATAGAATATTTAACTCAAAACCAATTACACACTAAATTAAATATTCCACAAAGTACACTGTGAACCATAAACAAAGAAAGAATATACGCACAGTTTAGAATGAATGAAAAATAGAAACAGAGAAATGCACAGACTCCAAGAAAGAGGGCTTAATGAGAAAGAGTAGGAAAGCAAACTCTGAAAGACAATTGAGAAGGTGCTGAGTGTGTGTGTGTATGGGCACGATCACTTCCAGTCGGGGTATGCATTATTTTTGAAACCACGAGAACCCTTCGGTGCAAAATAGATCCGTCTATCATCATAAAACAGTGAAACCACGCCACGATAGGCCGTTCTAGCCACACCCTCCTTAAAATCCTGCATGGCTCCCACATATTTCGCTGCAGCGATGAAATCATCCTGTGTTGAATATTCATATCTACACGAAGTACCCTCTGTCGGGGCTATCTCTTTTAGTTTCGTTAGTTGGTCAAAGCTAGTGAGCAGTACAGACTTGTCATAGACTTCGCTGAGGAAGTTCGCGTCGTAAACCTCGGGTATAAGTGTCATACGAAGTAATGTAGAATTAAAAGCGTGGGGCTTGTCACTGAGGTAATTGAATTGAAGATGAGTATCAAAGAACTGCCCATTAGAGACACCAAAACGGCCATAAGTATGAGAACGTGAGATCTCTGGACGAATACAGGCTCGACCATTTCGGATGGCCTTGGTTCGCATGTACTCATCCCAATAAGAATCCGGCCAGGTTGATCGTAAGTTCTCATCCCATAGGCGACGTGTCAACATCCATCCAAGGCCGGGAAAGAAGTCACTTCTTTTATTGAAAAAAGAGGAACAAAAAGTATCGTCAAGTGGAAATACAAGAATAACTGTCAATCAGCAGGGAAACTATAAACGGTTAAAAACCGTAAGCACAAAAGAGGAAGGGATAAGTAAGCAATAAATAGAGCGATAACTGGGTGCGAGAGCATATGGCAAAGCCACTAGAAACAACAGAAGTGGCTTATTCTAAAAGCGATCCAATAAACTCATATTTTAATTGGGGAGGGACATCTAGTGTTTTTACCACATTTACAGGGAGTAGTTGCACTCTGTGCAATGGTAATAGGCAACGGCTCCAAAAACTAGCACTTTGGGTACAAACCGATTGGGGGTATGGAAAAGGGAATGAAGCAACGACCATCTCCACTATACCCTTCTCCAATTAACTATTTGGGAGAGGGGGGGGGGGCATTGACAACACTGCATACAAATCTCCATGGAACTACAATCGCTTAGAGATTTGCTTGTCAATAACCCTCCCAGAGAGAAAGTGGACAGCTGTAGGAGGCAACTAATTTCCGAACTCAAACGTAAAGGAGAGATTTCTGTGATAGGATTTGTGTTGGAGTAATTGTATGAAGAATAGGAATAGAGGCTGTTCCAATTCACTCAAGGTTGCCAAAGCATTTGGAAGGAAAATAGTCAAACACATCACCACGACTCAGAGTAATTGGAAGGGAGTCATTAAAAAGAGCATCCACGGGCCTGTAAAGATGAGAGTCGCCCTCTACAGGGACTTAGCAAACACAAGTTACTACCTTTGGGGAAAAGAAAATCTGCGGGCAATGTGACCAGCGTTAAGAATATCTGAGTGAATCAAAGATCTTGATAGGAGACAGCAGGCCTTTTATCGATTGACAATATATCCAAGGAGGCTACTGGCCATAATATTGTTGAAATATGCGGAATGGCCATGCAAAGTAAAAATCGTGAATACAATTTCTTTTTTTAACAAAAAATCCTTATTATGATTGACGAAAAAAACTATTTATAGAAATGTATGGCCAAATTTGTATTTTATAGAGCTAATGCACCGATTTCCGATCACATGCGTAAACTGGTTAATTTGGTGAGGCATACTACTTCTCTTCAACGCACGTTGGTAACGCAGTCATTAGCATGGACGTCCATCAGAGGTCACAAGAGACACCCACCAATCGTACTGGTTAGCTATGGCCAACCAGAGTGACAGTGTGGATTTCGCACTACAGAGTATAAAGGACGCAACCCCC